TCAATAATACATTTATTAACAAGTTATAAGGGTAGATGTGAGAAATGAAGGGCCGATAAGCATGCGAAATTGAGTTGGCAATGTCAGTGGTAGTACAAGTTAATTTATGTATATTACATAACTATTAAGTGTATAAATAATCGATCTTATTAATTATAAAGATAAAAGAGCAAAAATCTTACCATTATTATTATTATTATTGGTACTCATTAGCTTATTATATGCGTTACACTAAAATATTAACATTGAACCTTTTGAACTAAGTGGTCAACAATGTCTCAAGTTCAAATTCATCATTCATCTCAATTTTGGTTATCTATGTATCTAGGTTACAGTATTTACTTGACAGGTTTAAATATTAATATAAGACAATGCCAGTATTATTAGACTAATATAATATGGTTGAATCTTCGCCTACCATCTTAAGTTTGTGAGTAGAATGATTATTTAATATGGTACCGGAGTTGAAGGTCTAATATGGTATCAGAGCTGAAAATTTAAAGTTCAAATACTTCAACTTTTAGATGAGATGACAACTTAGCATGTATCTCATAAACTCATTTAGACGTAAATATTAATATTAATTGAACCCTTATTGATAACAATATTTTGAATTAAGTTGTTAATAAGTTCTCAAGTTTGAATTTCTTACGTCTCAATTCTGGTTATTCACCGAATCTAAGTTACCAAATTTTAGGTTACATCAAAATATTAATGTTAGAACTTTATTTGAATGTTTGTAAGTGGTTACATATCATTGTAGAGTGTAGATCAACCTTTATCTGAATGTTTGTCAAAGTTTTTCTATTTAAACCTGTCTGCACCAGCCCTCTCATTGCACTACTTCAATTATCTCTATTAAAGATATATTTAGCTCTATTTAGCCAGCTCTATTCAGTTCAATCTAATGCTGACTGTTAGTCAAATGTAGTGTAGTGTAAACTGGTGTTTTTCAGTAAATGTAACAGAATGGTTGTAAATGTGGTTAGCTGAGGGTAGTTGAGTAAATGTAGTTAGCTGAGGTTAGTTGAGTAAATTCACTACATATATGTTAGCTGAGGTTAGTTGAGTAAAGTTCATGAGTTATGGAAAGAAAGCATAAACACATTTTGCAAGTTGCTAGGGCCTTAAAATTCCAGTCCCAATTACGACATTCCCTTTGGAGACACAGTGTTCAAACAATAGTTTATTTGATTAATAGATGTCCAACCACCATGTGGAAAGGTCTTTCACCATTGGAAAAATTGTTTGGCAAACCTCCTTCACTAGCACACTTAAGAGTTTTCGGTTGCTTAGCATATTCTACCATTCTAACTCCAAAAGATAAGTTTTCCCCTAAATCTATTCCATGTGTTTTCGTAGGATATTCTCTAGATAAAAAAGGATATGTCCTATACAATTTGCAAAACCATGCTATTCAAATCACTAGGGATGTCCCTAGTTAGTAAATACGGGTACGGCAAAAAAAGGTTACGGGAATTTTACGAGTATAATACGGCAAACGGTGAAAAATACGTTTATAAAAATTCGGCCATAAAATTCGGATACGGAAAAAATACGGTACGGGTATATACGGGTTTAATACGGTGCATTATTAATAATACGTTTTGAAAAATACGGCAATATCAATCTTAGTTTTAACATTTTTATGGACTATCTGGTTAAAATCAATATAGCATTTCAAATGCAAAGTATTTAATTAACTAATAACACAAATACTCAATATATAACTGATATTCAAATTATAGTCTCCAGACTCAAACACAATATTTAGCTAAGATTCAATTATAATGTCAAATCAAACACATAAGTCATAACAAAACCAAAATTCGTTGAGATATGCGTAAACTAATTTGGACTCAAAATTAGTTTACATGTATCTCAACTAATTTTTCGAGACCATAAAGTTAACGATTAGATAAATCTTCAGTGATTATCCTTTATTAGTAGTCGTAGAGATTCTAACTCAGAACTTTTGAGTAATATACTCAAATTCCATTTTATATTATTAAGAACAATAACCAAGATTTTAATTTAAAAAAACGTATATTTATTTTGTTAATAAATAAATATTGTTAATTGACATCAGTCAATAATATTGAAAACGGTAAATTTTTATTTTTAAATGGA